AATTTCGAAAGGTTTTGGATTGCTTAACTTTGGCTTAAGAATTGTTACACAAATTCCTTAAATCAAGGCTGAATGTTTTCTGTTTGTATCTAATAAATAGAAAAGAAAGACATTTTAATGGAACTAAACTTACAGAATTATCAGCATTATTGAATAGATTATAAAATAGCGTATTTAGGGCCACTTTTTATTTAATTTCACACTTTTTTGTTTTCAGTGTTTTTAGCCACGCCGAGCCGAGTTCGAATTCCAGTCGGGGAAAGGCATGAATCCATTTCTTCTCCCCGAGTTATGGGTCGAATAATAGGAGGGATTGTTTTCAATAGCCCTGGTTGTCAGTCTATCGCGGAAAGAAACGACAACCTACTGCGGGAAAATAATGTGAGTCATGAATCGGAAGAGACATGATCGCCCAAGCAACTATCACGTATGGCATGCAACTGACAAACTAATTGCAGTATTTAGAGTTGCTTAAGATTCAGTCAAATGTAAGTAAAATTTTTTTGTTATTTTTTTATATAAATGATTTATAAAAATCGTATAACTAACTTAAATATTTTTGTTTTGTTTCTGTTTATTTCCTAAATGACGAATGCACTTTTGAATGGTAAAAACTAATTCAATTCATGTGTAAATAATTTCAAATATTTTTTGTCACTCTTCATGAACAAAAACAGATTTTTCTATTGGAGTTTTTGTGCTTTGTTCTTTGTTTTGTTCTTACTATTTTTTTTTTAAATTCATTCATGCTTCGAAATGCCACGAGAGTAAATCCTGAAAACAAACGTCATTATAATCGTGATAAAGCAAATAAAAAATAAAAAGCAATTCTAACAAAATTCATCAGAAATGAATCACAAGAACAATGGCAAAAATATTAACAGGTTGTCAATGTTTTAAAACATAATTTAAAATTTGAATAAAGAAAAAAGTTTATATGATGTCGACATTCTTGCAGAGAAACAATTTCGTCTGATTTAAAAAAATCTCTTTATTTTCACAAAGGCAACAAAATATCAAAAGCGATTTCATTTCGACAAAATATTAAAATCGCAATTAATAAGTTTTAATTAATGTTTATTTTATTCTACTCTTGTTTTATGTACTTTTCTTTCCTTTTTGTTTTCATGTAAAATGTCCTTAAATTTGGCTTTGATGTAAGCACAATGGGTTTCTTTATATTTTTCCTTTCCTTAGTTTACACTGTGTCCGAAACTTCAAGATCGTCTAGAGTTTTTCAAAGATCGGATTATTGAACTCGTCAAGAATTTTGATATTGAAATACTCCTCCTTAAGAACACCCCCAACTATTTTTTTTCAAATTCGAAAATTTAATTAATGAAATATAGTTTTAAAATAATAATATATGTACACAGGTTTTGTAGACTTTCGTTATTGAATTTAGCTAATTTATTATTACCATTATTATTATTTTATTTCCTTTGATTTCTTTCCGGGTCCCAACCAGAGACCTAAGGTCAGAAATTGCATTATGACATTTTCCCCTGAGCATTTTTGGGGAAAATAAACTTAACATCACACGCATTTTGCATAGATAAAGCCCTTCATAAGGTGTGGTCTGTACTTGCAAGTACAATTTTTGTTTTTATATTTCTTTAAGGCATGAGCTGTCAGGAATCCCTTCAATGAGTCTATCGGAACCTTTTCCAATCAATCCGAGGGCTCCAACTAGAACTAGAATTGTTGGTTCAAGACCCTTGTATTTTGTTAGTTTTTTGAAGTTTTTCAAAGATACATTACAATCTGCAGGGACTGCCATGTCAATAAGAAGGCATATTTTGTCTTTTCGGTCTCTGATAACGATGTCTGGGCGATTAACTTTGATTGTTCTGTCCGTATATATTGTAAAGTCTCATAAAATTATTACAGGAGCTATCTTTGTAACAGAGCCTGGTTGATGTTTATACCAATATTTTGAAGTTTCCTTTCCGTAAAAGTTGTAGATTTTCCAACGTAGATATTGTTATGGTGGGTTTTATATTAAAGAGGTGCCAATACCGTGCAACCTGATGGTCAATAGTTTCTGAATATTTATCACAGAATCTGCATTTCGGACAAAACGTGTATCATATGTTGATATGTGGATTTGGAATTTTTGTATTTGTGGATTTTTGGATTTTTCATTAATAACTTTACCACAATATAAAAATGTAAAGAGAATTTATTTGACGGAAAAAAATATTTTCAATATAATCCCCTCCTTTTTCAATGCACTTAATTCAATGGTGTAAATGAATCACATAGATAAAAAATTACAATGAAAATCTCATTTCAAAATTCAAATATTTAGATGCCAGAAGATGTATATATGGATTAAAGTGGTCAACATCATAGATAGATTGTATGTAAATATAAAGTGGACATATAAATCAGCGCCAAGGGGCGAGTCTGCTTCATGCTTAAACGCAATCTTCAGTCCATGTGTTTTGTGTTTTGGTTCCACTATTTATGTCTTTTAATATGATTTATCAATGGTTCATTATGGGTAGAAGATCTATTGGCCAGCATATATAAATTGTCTATCGAAACACAACACACATAGTAGACTGTCGGCGCAGTGTGTTCAATTAATGTTCACTTTCATATATATATATATATATATATATATATATATATATATATATATATATATATATATAACCGCGAGTGAGTACTGAAAATTTCTAAGCCTGACCAACTACCAGCAATCTGATCAATTAACTTAACAGTTCGAATAATTTTTAAATTCCAAGAAATTTATGAGAAAGGCTATTAATAAAACGACTTTAAAAATAGAAAATAAATTCACACAACGTCCATCTTCGTCTTCATTAAAATTATTTTATATATGTTATAATATATATATATATATATATATATATAGTCGAACCTAGAGAGCCAGACTTAGCTCGTATCGGGGTGTTTTCTTCGGGCTTTGGACCAGTGTGCTGTAAAATTATTTTCGACAGACGTTCATGTTCCTAGATCTTTCTTTTTTAAAACCTTTTTTCCTTCGATATTGATTTGATCATTAGCAAATCAAGAAACCGAAGGTCTTTCGAGACGAGTGTAGTTACCTATATATATATATATATATATATATATATATATGAAGAAATATACTCCTAAGTTTTGCTATATTTATGGGATAAAGTGTTCAATATCAGAGATAGAGCGTGCGTAAATATAAAAGTAAACATTGAAGCCAACATTTTGAGGCGACAGGCTATTTCATGCTGGACGCAATCGGGGCCTGACGATTGCGTCTAGCCTGAAAATAGCCTGTCACCTGTAAGTGTTGCCTTCAATGTTGTTTTTTTATATATATATATATATATATATATATATATATATATATATATATATATATATATATATATATATATATATATATATATTATAAATTAATTGATTTAAAATATGGTTATTTTCGCTACACAGTTCCAACCATGTTTCAAAAATAGAAGCTAAAAACTCCTAATTTTATTTTTGCAATTAAATTAAAAGCATTAGTTCCATTTCATCTTCAAGCGAATTCGCTCTGTAAATTTACATTGAGCACTATTTTGTAAAAATAAAATATCTATAAGAACACCGGATTTTATATCTTACTGTTCTTTCTTTTTTTTTATTATATATATATATATATATATATATATATATATATATATATATATATATATATTATAATTATTTTCTATTTTAAAAAATATGGTTCCGTCTCTATACAGAAATTATCACGTTTCAAAACAGAAACTAAAATTTTAATTTATAATATTAAATTTAAAATCCATAGCTCCGTTTATTCTCAAGCGGTTTTTAGAATAACCTATTAACAAATTTACTTTACTAAAAAGCACAGAAAATCTTAATATTTTAAATTTTTAAGGTTACGGAAAAATTCAAAAGAAATGAAGATAAGGAAAAATTATGTAACTGTAGAAATCCTCAAAACTGTCCTTTCAATAATAAATGTTGCATTTAATCATTGGTTTATCAATGCGATATTTCATCTATTGAAAATCCAGACAGTTAAAATCTACATCGGATGCACAAAATATGATTTCAAAAGACGTTGGAACCAACATCAAATGTCCTTTAAAAGTAATAAATACAGAAATCAAACTTCCCTATCTAAATATTTCTGGCACATAAAAGAAACCAATAAAACACCAACAGTAAAATGGAAATTAATCAGAAGAGCTAGAGCTTGTAGGTCATTAAATGACCCATATCTTTTGTGAATACATGAAAAATTATACGTTAATAAGTTTCTGAAAAATAAAATTAACTTAATCAAAGAAATGAAATAACATTTTTGTAGACAATGTCAAATATTTTCCTTAAATAATATTTACTTTTGAAAGAGATGAAAGATGAAACATGCATATTTATATTTGATTAATAATTTTTTTAAATACGAATGTCATTCTAATGTATTTATTTGTAAAAATAAATAACGTATAGTCTATTAGTTATTAGAAGTAGAAAAGTACTTTAAATGTGTAGGAATAGATTTTAATATTAAAATACCACTTACTCATATTCATTCGACCACTTTAATAAATCTTTGTGTATAAAATTATAAAATAAGCTTGCCAAATAAAAACGCCAAAAACTTTTTATCATTGAAAAACGCAAACGAAAGGCGAAAAACGGATGTCATTGTTTGTGAGCAGACATCCCTACCCCACCTTAACATAACCTGATTTTGAAAGTAATTTATATTTTATACATAAGTTGTCTAGGGAGATTAAAACCCAAACACCCCTTATCAAAATGATTGAATTTTTCCGTAACCTTAACAATTTAAAATATTAAGATTGTCTGTGCTTATAAGTGAATTTGTTAATAGGCTATTCCAAAAAAGGCTTGCGAATGGTCGGAGCTATGGATTTTAGATTTAATTTTATAATTAAATTTAAAATTTTAGTTTCTGTTGTCAAGCATGGTAATTCCTGTGTAGCGATGGAACCATATTTTTAAAATAGAAAATAATCATGATATTATTCTCTCTCTCTCTCTCTCTCTCTCTCTCTCTCTCTCTCTCTCTCTCTCTCTCTCTCTCTCTCTCTCTCTCTGTGTGTGTGAAAAGAATCTATTTTTGTAAATGAAACTTCATCGAGTTCTGAATCATTTCATATGTTCGGATGACCTTACCAGTGGAGGTCTTTCAAAATTAAGCTAGTCCCCTGGCTAAGTCATTTGTTGCCGCAGACCATTTACTCTCCTTCGATTAACTGACATGTAGCATACACTACTAAAACCCAGCAACTCCCGACTGAAGTTATTTTGAAGTGTTTCTAACTTTTTGTGGGCAAGATTTTTTTTCCTTTTTAGCCACTGACCAAGTCAATAAAATGAAAGTAAATCCTTTTTTATTTACTTGTAGTTTTTCTTGTTTTCCTTGTCGTTCAATTTGCTTTTCTTTATCTTATTTCTTTTGCCGCTCACGTGACAGTGTGTGTCTGTATGTTAGAAGACCTCGAAGTAGATGGAAAGGGTTTATTAGGAGCACATGCTCGAAGAAGTAAAACCCTCTCTTCTAATCTCCTTTTCTCTTTCACTTCAACTTCCGTCGAACTTCTGTTTACAAGCGAAACATGTTACAGATTAAAACATGAACAGTTTTAGGTGAGAAAAATTAATTTTATCAATAAACAAAAAACAATACTTGAGACCAAAAGGGAAAAATAACACAAAGTTAGTTTAACGAAGTTTCCCCAGAATTCCATGAAAGAAACGGAAGTTGATGTAAACAGAGAAAGAAGTTGCATTGTAGATGTAAACTTTGAAGTGACGCCATCTACAGAAACACGCAAAGCGGAACAAAGATAAAAGATGACTTAATTTCTTGAAGGATGGCGCTTAATTACCAGCTTATTGGTCAGTCGTCGGGATTAATTACGACTGGTTGATGAAGATTAGAAGAAGCATCCAGGAAAAAAATATGGGACGGTATGAATGATTTTGCCAGCAATAGAGGACGAGACGGAAAGAGAGAGAGAGAGAGATGGAAAGAGAGAGAGACAGAGACGGAAAGAGAGACAGACAAAGAGAGAGAGACGGAAAGAGAGAGAGAGACGGAAAAAGAGAGAGAAGGAAGGTAATTATTTTATGATAGAGATAATGTGAATATATTCATACATAAAAAAATATTTTTTTTCTTTGTTGAAATAGTTGAAGAGGCGGATGTGGTGTGTTTTTTGGTTTCCTTAAAACAAAAAGGAGAGACCGCATAAAACAAAACAAGAGAAAATAAAAATAAGTATCAAGATAAATATAAGAACAGCTTGGAAACGTTGGGGAAGATAAACTTTTGAAATACGGGTAGTCAGGTATCTTTTGAGGTACGAGTAGTCGGGTATATTTTTGAATATCTTTTCTTAGGGGTGTATTCATAATTTGCTTCAAAGTTTAAGAATAAAATATACAATGTATTCATCATTTACTACGCTTGACTTAGTCTGGCACAAGGTCATTTACTAAACTTGACTTCGGTTAGAATAAAGAAGCACCCAATACGAATCAGTTTTCCTGCACTAGTGAATTGCTAAGAGAGACGAGTTTTCAGATTAATGTTCTATGGTAGACATCCGAACAATGGTGTTAGCAAATTCAAAGAAAAGAAGGGATAAAGATCTTGTGTCCGAAGGAGAGAAAGAGAGACAGACAGAGCGAGAGAGAAAAATGAAGAGGGAGTGAGAGAAATGAAGAGAGAGTGAAAGAAAGAAAGAGTGAGAGTGAAAAAAATGGAGAGAAAGAAAGTGAGAGAAATGGAGAGAGAGAGAATGAGAGTGGAAAATGAAGAGTGAAATCATGAAAGAAAACTGAATCGGTAATGGCTGAAAGTCATTTCATATTCGTTATATGAATATGGGTGTGAATATATCTGTGTACGTGTGTGTTAATGTGTGTGAAAGTATGTACGTCTATATGTACATACTTGAGTATGGCTGTGATTCTGTGTTTGGCAGTGTGTGCTTCTGCCTATTTGAGTAAATGTGTATTATCTGTGAACTGATAAGCAAAATAGGTTACAGCATTCCATAATGTTTGTGGCTACTATCAAGTTGCCACGTACATTTTGAAAGCTCGGCTAGTTCGGCTCAATCTTGGGTTGTTCCCATGCTGGTCATTACTAACGCCAGTCCCTTCATCTGCTCTGCCCACGTTGTGTTCTTTGATCACAGTGCAGTGAAGTTCGAACTTTCGTCCGCACTTAGGCACTGAATCGAGTTGGTGGAACCATGCTATGGAAAAAGGACAAGAATGCTTCCGTCGGTGAAAACACACATATAATAACAAATAACGAAGGAAGTCACTGGGTTCATTTTCAGTTGCTTTATATAAACGCTGATACAAAAAAAAATTAACCCTTCCCGTTCGACTCATTCTCGTGACACTGTATCTCCTGTTTCTAAAACTTGGAGCGGGTTAAACATTCACCCAAGATGTTAGGTCGGGCAACCTCGGCAACAGGTCACATGAGGTTCAACAGCTCCTTCGTTTACTGCTGATTCGTCTCACCTTCTCCAACGGCAGCTCTTACTTCCGGCTTCAACCGATCGTTCGGTTTATATGCATCTCGTCTAACTCTCACTACCCCTCAAACCTCATTACGTATTCCTCAATTAATTATTTCCCCAGCCCTGGAGACATGACAGTAACCCTAAACAAAACGATCTGGTATTTCAAAACAATAATCTTTCTTTCCACATTTTTCGACAATATTTTTTCCAGTTAACACTTTTTAAAAATTATTTCTAAGGAATTTCATTTTGTTGTCGAATTCTAATGAATTCTCTTTGCTTTTCGATTTCCAAAATTCGGCCCACTATCAAATTCCATTGCTTGCATTTTTGGTTTTATTTAAATTCGTTCCTCGGCCGACAATGGCCTTCAAATACCAACACAGTCAACTTTTCAAAAACGAAATTATTTACTTCAAATTTTTCTACTGTTTTACATTCCACCTTTTTCGGGGACTGATAACAATCCTTATGTGCGTTTCTGTTTATCAGAAAGAAAAAAGAATATAATTTTTCCTCACTTCATATTTCAATTCTTATTTCTCCCTTTAACGGTTTAACCCTCCCAATGTTCCAATTCTATACGGGGTTTTCGCATGACCCCCAGAATCACGATAGTATCACCTTGCTTCCTACTACTATCAGTGACTTTTTATAGCGTCACAAAGAAGAGATTGTTGTTATATGCTACCTCACAGATTTCTACAAATAGATGGGCTTACTTAACAAAACGTTTATAATTTAAACTCCATTCTCGCATGAGGTTCTCATTTTTAGAATAAATTTTCAATTGAAATGTAAACTTCAGACTTCAAGACAGAAAAGCAAGAGGATTTTACAAAGCAATTTATTGAATTCTACTTAAGAATGTAAAGTAAAAATACGGATGATCAAACTTTGTAAATGTGCTGAACTAAATTGAGTGCTTAGGACATTAAAAATGAAGAGAATGAGCAAAAAGTAATACAATTAACAATGCTGAAGGCAGTATTTTAAATAAACACTTTATCTTTTGCCAGATATTTAAACGACACCAAGAAATTCAAAGACTACTTCGACTTAAACACAGAAATGCAAAAAGAATGAGGATAATAATCCAAATAATATCTGTGTTAGCTTTAATATAAACAGTTGAATTTTCTACTATATTAAGTCTTTTTGGTGAGTAGGAGATGAATGCATGCAATCTTCTCAATATGCTTATCCGTATTCTTTTTAATAATTCTCGATGTTCCTATTATTAATTATGAAATGACGATTGTCTTTAAAATGCTATATTGAATCCAGATCCTTATATTTTGAAAGTTTCTCAATCTCTTTTACAGATATATTTTCATTAGACGTGATGTCTATGTCTGTTATATAGTATTTATGCCTTTCAAAGTATTTTATAATTATGTCTCGTCCAATGGCGTGTATACCTATGGTTAATATGCATCTTTTTCCCCTTCTAGCATTGGAAGTGGTTTCTGTTCATACCATTTTCTTGAATGGGGAAAGTCATAATGTTGTTCCTTTCCCTATTAATATATTTAAATGTGAAGTGGTGGTGTGGATCTCTTGGATATTAGATGATCAAATGACATTTTTTATTCGTTCCATTCAATAAAATAGGTATCTGACAGGATTGTGTTAGCAGGTTTTGATCTTGAACGGCCAGGATGAATTTCTGGGTTTCGTGTTTCAGCCCTGAGTTCTGTAATCGCTGATAGGTAAGAACTTTGTCAACACCAGAGATTTGTGTTCGAAATGAGAATTGGACATGTAAGTTTTTTTCTTTTAATTTGGTTTTCAGATTAGTTAGTTCCGTAGTGTTTGTCTTTGCTTTTGGTAATTCACTTTTCATTTCAACTAGAAATGAAACGGTTGAAATAAAACAAGATCTATTATTAGACATGGTTCTAACTTTTTGTGTGTCTTGAAACAGCAATTATTATTATTATTATTATTATTATTATTTCCTTGGTAACAACTAGGCGTTGTTTGAAGAGACACCAATCTCAAAAGATTCGTCTTTCTTGTTAAGGCGCACCGGAAGCCGGCCTCATAAATCCTTAAAACCTGATTTGTAAAAGGATACTTTTGTCAGACACGAAACAATTATTTGATTCGAAATTCGGGCGCCCTAAGGAACATCTCTTCAGATCTTGCCTGACCCTAACTTATGTTAATAATTTCTAATTTGTGTTTAGGTAAGTCTTATTTGCCTTGCCTCTGTGCGTGGGTGCGGCTCAGTTACAACACAAATTTTCTATTGGTATTGCTCAGTCGTCAACTAGAAAATTTTTGCTTATTATTGAAAACTAAATGTTCACTGAAATTATATATATATATATGTGTGTGTGTGTGTGTGTATGTATATATATATATATATATATATATATATATATATATATATATATATATATTAAATATGGAAGACAAGGAAAACTTATTAATTTTTTATTTATTTAGTTTTTCCAGCATTCTTACCTATTTCCTTTTTTTATGAGTTAAAGAGCACAGAAATGTTTCATAATTTTCATTGTCCAAAGCTCTTTCGGTCACTTCTTTAGAGTTTTACAACAAGGTTTTGTTTATGGTGTTGTTTGTTTTTCCTCATACTTTGACTGTTGAAGTTGTATTTTATTTTTGTTGTATGTTATTTTTGTTTTGTATGTATGTATGTATGTATGTATGTGTCATATAGGAAGAAAATGACATCGACACCGAGGTTCGAGCGTGACACTCTGGACTTATGAATATATGTTTTCCGTCAGGTGTATAACTAGCGGTGTCAGGCAACTGACTGCAGTGATTACTGAGTGATTATTGAATGACTATTGAGTGGAACTATCCAGGCGAATTAAACATCTTTTATAAAATACGGAAGACAAGGAAGATTTAGATTTTTTTTTGATTTTTTTTATAGATAGATTTCCCACGAGAACTCATGAGAATATAAGAGGATACGATTTTTATCAAGATAAACCCCTAAGAAAGGTCAGTATTTCGTATATTATTTTATATCACACACACACACACACACACACACACATACATATATATATATATATATATATATATATATAGAGAGAGAGAGAGAGAGAGAGAGAGTCAGACAGACAAACATAGACAGACAATGTAGGCATAGGAATCAATACTGTATGTTAACTGTGGATTTCACAGAACTAGCAATCGTCAAACCAGATGTCACTACTCTTTTGGTTGCTTCTATATATATAGGTCGCTGGGAGATTAAGGAAAGTAAAGTAAGGAAAGGAGAAAACTGGTCCTTCCATTTCTTATGTTATATAATTAGATTCTTTAAGGTCATGACATTTAGTTTGTTTTTTTATTAATTTATTGCTTATTTTGTATATTTTCTTCTGTTCTAAATTTTGGTCTTTGAAATACAGTTTATTAGATTCAGGTTCTGGCATTTTATTTAGTCTTTTGAATCACGATGTGATTGCAGGTAGCGTAGTTTTTGTGTCGACATTTAGATTCTACTACACTCACTACGGCCTCATCAGAATTCAAAGGACACTAGATAAAATCTCAGAACCGAAATTTGGTAAGGTTTATTTCAAATAAGAAAAGTTAGAACCAAAGAAAATATACAAATAAATAAATTTAAAATAATAAACATTTCCCAGAGGCGGTAGACGTTCGAGCCCAGGTAATGGTCAAGATTTACGATGCTGATTTTCAAAGTAGGTTAGATTAACCCAGCACGAGTTTCCATCCTCCACAACTCCATTTCTTTAGCCCTGTACCTAAATATATACATTTCTTTAGCCCTGTACTAACATATATATATATATATATATATATATATATATATATATATATATATATATATATATATATATATATATATATATATATATATATGTGTCTGTCACTGTGTGTGTATGGCGGGTATTTAAGTTGATTTCGCCTGTATGATTATGAATTATTGGCGTATTTTCAAAGAGTTATAAAACTGTCTGTCCTTCCCCACATCACAAAGTCTACCGAAGGATTTAATCAAGCCAAATATTATAAACAAACTAAATATCGACTCTGTTCTTCCTTGCCATCCCCCCCACCTTACAATTTACTTCCATGCACTCTTCATTGCCCGCTCGACAACGCCGCACCCCCACCAGCGTTCACTCTGCATTGGGCCACACTCCCACCCAAATCCGGAAGTCTGAGCCATCTTCATAGGTTATGAATTCAAAACGTAAGAGAGACGCCGAACTAGTCGCCATTGATATGCGATAGGGTTGAATCCGGGCAGACAAGAGGGCAGAGCGTGGGCCTCTGTCCGATGTTCTATCGTAAAGCTATTCAGACATGTTTCTTTCTGTTTCTCTTCATCCTTTCATTTTCTCTTTCTTTTCGTTTTCATTTTTATCCGCTTCTCAAAATACAAATTTCCCGGGCCTTCCTACACACACACACACACTCTCTCTCTTTCTCTCTCTCTCTCACACACACACTCTCTCTCTCTCTCTCTCTCTCTCTCTCTATATATATATATATATATATATATATATATATATATATATATCTTCATATAACATCTTCATTAACAAGTTTTTTCCTATAATTTTATTTTTCTGCCTTTCCTCGCCCACTCTCTTTTATTCCTTTTATCAATCCTTTCTCTCTCTCTCATTCAGTATATTCTCATTATTTCTCTCTTTTCCCATCCTCAGACTCTTTCTGTTTTTATCACTTCCAAATTTATTTCCTCTTAATCTCTTTTGATATTTACTAAGCTTTACATGAAATCTGATGTAAGAAAATGGGGGAAGGATAGAGAAATTTCGTTTACAGTACACTAATGTACCAAACGAGGGAGGACATATATAATAAATGCTAGAAAATCAGCGTTTGAAATCTTGGCAGAACTCGAAAACCATTGTTAGAAAATAGGCGTCTATCTCACCCATGAACCTCCCTCCCTCTCTCTCTCTCTCTCTCTCTCTATATATATATATATATATATATATATATATATATATATTGTTACGAACTTGTAGCATATAGGTGAGCCACGGGTTTAAAAAAAGGAAAACGTGCGATGGATGGAAGTGACACACGGAAGTCAGCGAAAAACAGACGCAAGACGATGGATTTCAAAATAAAACATTTATTTATAAATACATAAACACGTAAAGAAAGAAAAAGAAAATTTGTTTAACAAAGAGGAAAGGGATCATGAAAGAGCAGAAGGTACCAACGAATACATACATATAAAAAGATCAAGCCAAGAAATCAGCTTATCTACCAGTCGAGTTGATATCTCCACACAGTTCTAATTCGCCGAAGCAAGAGTACTTTATCTAAAACAATATTTCGTCGGCCGGCTATTTTCCTGGGTTACTTTTCTTTCTGAAATGGTCGGGGATCCACAGCATCTCGTTGCTTGATTCAGTTTCGTAGCAGTCCTTTCGTTCTCTAGTCGACAGACTTGCTGTCTTATTTATATCAATGGGTAGTTCATTTGGAATCGGGACGATTCGCCCAGTGATGTGCATCTGCCACTGGTCAGACAGGAAACTGAAAACCTTTTTTCTAGATTTTTGCTGTCCCCAAAGATAGTCACATAGATTCTCTGCGTCCTTGACGCAGGAGGATGGGACACAAATCACGCAGTGTTTGCGTGATGGCCAGAAATTTAACCAACCATCAGTAGGGTCTGATCACGTGAATCGCAGCAGGAGAGCCTGGTGGTGCCTGGAATTCACATATGGCCAACCGCTTGATGGTCGCAGTATTTTGGAACCAGGTCATTCTCAGGTCGGGTCACTTCAAAGTTCACGGGCCCTTGGCTTGTGGGTGGTAGAGAAGATAAAGAGGGTTCTTCTGTCATGATCCATTTCCCCTTTGTTAAACGAATTTTCTTTTTTCTTTCTTTTAAAATTCATCGTCTTGCGTCTGTTTTCGCTGACTCCCGTGTGTTGCTTCCATCCCTAAGTGAAGACCGAGGAATGATCGCACGTTTTCCGTTTTTTAAACCCGTGGTCACCTATATGCTACAAATTCGTAACATATAAAATTGGGGCTCGTCCGGGATCTTGGAACCAGGTCATTCTCGGGTTGGGTCGCTTCAAAGGTCACGGGCCCTTGGCTTGTGGGTGGAAGAGAAGGTAAAGAGGGAAAAAAATTTGGAAGAGAAGACGAGCTGAACATATTCGCTCGCAAGTTGAAAGCATTGGATTTAACTATTTTTATTTTTTTTTTATATCTAACTAATTTTCGACTAGAATTTGGGATTTTTCCTTAGGGCTGTTTTTTAGCCTTGCGCCTACATGGTTAATGAAATCGTAGGTACGTCACAATATATTTTGAAATTCTTGATAGCTTTCATCTGAGTTCGAACACTGAAAGCAAGCATTGAATATGTGTGTCGATCTGAACGGTGAGTTATATCTGGCATGCTATTTACATTTAAACCTGTATGACGTCTTCATGAGATGTTTTACATTTTTGTAAGTACTGCAGTCAAACAAAGCTGTGATGTCGGTAATAATGTGTAAAATGGTGATAAATGATATATGTTGTCTTATGCATTAATAATAATATATATTTATATAATAATATATGAGATATCGATATATATATTTTTATATATCAAGAACAATATCGGGTGAAAAAAATGTTTGACAAATTCGAAAAAAGTTTTCGTGTGACGTGTTTCATTTTTACGATTTCATTGGACCAAATTTGCTCCGTTGGTTTGACTAAAAATGTACACGAACGAGGGATGCTATGAATTAAATCTTAATCTTTGGGGGGGTTACATACGCACCCCCCCCACACACACACACAAAATTTAAATTTAATTAAATTTTACACATTTAAAATTCCCAGCATCCTTCGTTTGTGCGCATGTGTAGTCGCACCAACAAGGGAGATTTAGTTCTAAAGAACGAAACGCGTCGCATTCCATATTGTAATATATACAATATATACCTCCAAACACACAGACATGCACACACACACACACACACACACACAGAGGTATATATATATATATATATATATATATATATATATATATATATATATGTGTGTGTGTGTGAAAGTAGACTCTTCATGACTTGAAAATTGTCGCCACTGATGTATCTTGAGTTTGGCCGTGTCACCCGCGGACAGAGTATGTTGTCGCGTTTCTTACTGCCACAAACCATCGATACTATGAGACATAGCGGCATATCAACAATGCTATGGATTATTTAATCCCAAAATTTAAATATTTTATACGTAATTTTATGCTTTCAGAGTAAAGTTATGTTTTTAGATATATCTTTTGTAGATCATAAAATTTATAAAATTTTTATATTTTTTGTGTTGCAGTGATTGTCATTTTGCTATAAAAATCTATTTTTGGTCATTCTATTATAAAAATGTACTGTTGATTTATATTTCGGGGTTCACTATTTGCCCAGAGCAGGGATTCTAGCAAGTGGGAACAACAGCAGTTAAGAAATGATTCCACGCCCTCAAAACTTCCAATCAGACGCCATAATGTAGATTATCGTCTTACTCAGGACGATCTCTCTTCGTAAATGTTCCCAAATTAAACTCTGAAATGCACTATAAACGACACTGTCGGAAAGAAGAGATGATAAATTAATTCTAGTTTCTTAGTTCTGCCTTATTTGATTGACTCGAAATTCATTTCAGTATAATACGTCATTACTTCACGAACATCCTACTATATATCCGAACCTTTGTTAGTAGTAACGCGTGTTGTCTCATGTTTAGGCAGGAAATAACGGGAAATCAGATTGAATAGTTCAAAAGAATAATTGTTACATTTACACAATGTCACCAGAATGTATCATGTAGCCAAGGTTCGATTATAAAGAACTTTTGCATTCAGAGCAAATGAAAATAGTGATTTATGTTCTGCTTTTCGAATCAATAACAGCAAAGAAGTTAGAAACGTATTTTCGTCTGGCCACGCACAGCGACATACGTACAGGTTTTGGCCTGTCCATTCAATCAAGTAAGAAGGTACGTTTCATTTAATAATGAATCGTAAGAAGACATCATTTTGGAAATATATAAATTGGAAAGTGGCATTAAAATGAGAATCTGCTAAGATATATGTATATAGGAATAAAGACAAAAAGAAAACTTATCTTAGCCAACGCATTTCGTCCCCTGGGGCACTTTATCAAAGCAATTGAAACGCGTTTACTTTTGTCTTAATTCATTTTGTTCTTTTACACATACTCTATCTGAAATTTTTACATGTACATATATGTTACATATACATATATATACATATGTACATGTGTTACATATACATATATATACATATGTATATGTGTTATATATATATATGTAACACATATACATATACATATATGTGTATGTGTTACATATACATATATGTTACATATATATATATATATATGTATATGTGTTACATATATATATATATATGTATGTGTTACATATTCATATATATATATATATATGTGTGTGTATATATGTGTTATATATGTATATGTGTTACATATATGTATATATGTGTGTGCGTGTGTGTATATGTGTTACATATACATATATGTGTTAGTATGATACAAAATCCGTACAAAAGTAAAGAAATGCGACAGTGGAAAAGTTTTTTATTGATAACGAATTTCGGCTTCATTAGCTAGTTCTGACGCCTAGCTAAAAACCTAACGAAAGCGAAAGGCGTTGTCAATAAAATACTTTTCCACTTTTTCACGTGCACAAATGTCTATATATATATATATGTTTATATTTATATATGTGTGTACGCGTGTGTGTGCAATTGAGAACACCTAGATTGACATTTTTTCTTACCACTTAACATAGCAGCTTACAATCCGACACAGTAAATGAAAAGGCCCGTCGTGCTCAAGCCATTAGCATAGCAACCCCGAGGTTACCCATTTCGTGATAGTGACCAGCTATCATCATCATCATCATCATCATCATCATCATCATCATCCTTCCACCTCCCTATGTTTGGTCGGAACTCCACTGACAATCCCTTTCCACACTGTTCGGTCCTGCATTGTTGTCCCCAGATCCCCAATGTCCAACGATAAGTTCCGAGCTATGGGTCTGGGAAGGCCAATTTTCGTGAGAAGACACTTCCAAAAGGATGCTGTAAGAGTAAGGATGAGACGAGTTCCCTGTCCGCTTGGTGGCAATGACCGGAAAACTGTTTGAGCTTAGAAGAGCTTGGCTTCAGTTCTCCGTGAATTGTGTTAAGCGTTGCATGAGATCTCCACCAGATTTCTGGATTTTTCTAAGTTGATTTGTAAATGTTCCATCAAGTCGTCTTTCAAGACGAGTTGATAATGTCCAAGTTTCTGATCCATACAGTAGAAATTGTTCAATCAATGTTCAAAAGGTTTGGACTTTTAAGGAAGATGGAAGGTTCGAGCGCCAAATCTTGTGAAGTTTGTTACACGAATCCAATGCAAGAGCTTTGCGGATGTTGAAGTGTTTTTGGGAATCTGTTATGTGAGCTCCAAGGTATTTGATGTCTTTAACTTTTTGATGGATTTATTATTTAGTGATTTCAGCTCTGCTGGTTCAGGTGAGGTTGTGATATATTCTGTCTTACCCACATTCCTATAGAGACCTACCTGGCCCACTGCTTGCTAGAGTGATTGCAGCAAGGATTCTGCATCTTTGATACATTGAGAAATTAATGCAAGATCATCAGCAAAGTCAAAGTCAGGTATTGTGGAAGGTACACACA